GCGGCCCGCGGCGCGGTCTGCGGCCGGCGGCGAGGAGCGACACCCGCCTTTTGGGTCGCGGTAACCGAGCGGCACCAAACGCCCCTTTGGCCTGCGCGCGTTCGCTTCCAAACAGTAAGAGCCACGTCCCTCACCTGGCAGGCGTTATTCCCCGTTAGCTCTTTTTGTTTTTTTTCCTTTCTCCTCCATATTCCGTTTTAAGTTCACGCCGGGTCACGTATCTTTTGTCCTCTCTCAGCTCGGATAAGCGTCGCGGTAGGTGTTTGAACCGGCTCAGCAGTAACGCGCTCGCGGACTCGGTGCTTCGGAGCCGCCCGTTTGCGGTTCAGAGCTGGTGCTAAGCCTGCCAGGTTTTAAATCCTCGTAGTAGTTTGCAAGTGCTCTTATAACATATATCAGTTTGTGACTACTAGTTTAGTTTACTCCTGGTTAATTAGCTTAATTAGCTTAGTTATAGGGGTTTTATCGCTGAAACTGCAACGCAATAAAAATGCATACTTTGTGTCCCTACCTGCTGGCGTCCCTACACTGCGAAGACATCCTAGGTTCATAACTTAGATCCCGCCTGACAGAGGCAAACGAGTTGAAATTTTGAGTACCGTCAGGGGTTCAAACTGGCGATTCCCTGCAGAGCTGTGTACTTAAAGAAGAGCTGCGGACTCAAAACCTTGTCCTTTTTGGCCTGTTGTGTCAGCTCGTCTAATAAAAGCCCTATGGAACTTGCCTCCGGGGTCACAGCCCCTCGTCGCTGAGAAAAGGGTGCACGCGTGTTTCAGGCAGCGACCGAACACGGCTCCCGTAGATACAGCTGAGTGAGTTTCAGACTAGTTAGCTGAGCGGTTGTTAGCTGCTGGCTGCGATGCTCGCACGGGACGCGGTATCTGCTGGGGACCCAGCTCCAAACTGCTGGCGCTCGAGCCGGCGGGGCTCCCTCGCTTGGCACAGTTCAGCTCCTCTTCTGATAGTGCTGCCAGTTTTTGTCGGGCTCTGAGGTCATGCTGAGCAGAAACGTATTTATCACACGAGGCCGCAGGCCTCTGAGGAATAATTCTTTTACAAGCAGGTCCTGCAGGCCCCGCTTCTCCCAGGCCCTGATGCGTACACACGTTTTTCTGTTTGTGGGTTTGGATAATGAGCTGGACCAAACAACTGGCTAAGAATAATCTAAAAAAGTGGAGTTTAATTTGTGTTATTTCTCTAGTTTATTGCCTGAAAACAGAATTTTCTAAGTAGAACTGAAGAGATGGTAAGAGAGTGAGAATAGGTGGTGGGTGGAGAAGGGTGGGGTGGGCTGCATGTGCTGGAATTGCTGTTGAAGGAAATGGTCAGCAAGGTAGAGCTTTTGAGACTTGAAATAAGATACCAGCCTCACTGCACACTCTAGAAACAAACATACCAAATACCGGGGGTGTGTGGGGAGGGGGCGGGATGTGGAGCAGCATTTTAGTGACAGAGATGAGGAAGAAATCGGAGATACCTGATGCTGACAGATGTCCTGCACGTTCAGTTGTACTGCTGATAGGCAACGCATTGATATTGTTGTGATTACAAACGTGTATGATACTTGAATATACCAACATACGGAAATGAACTGTGTTACTTTTAGTGCCGATACGGTTGTAGTATAACCCTATGTGGTAATGAGGAAAAGGGAGGAAAGAAGTCAAGGGCTTGAGGTCTTGCTTTCTTTGCTTCTTCCTGCTTCCGACGCATTGCTACCAGGCTGGTGGGGTGAAAGGGTCTGTGGTCTCGGACTACCAGAGCATGAGGGAGGGAGGAAGAGGAGATGGTCCCCGTAGAGGTCCCTCTGTAACTTGTACGCTGAGGTGAAGAGTTTTGAGAACAGCTCCTAGCCCAAACCCCTCTCCCAGTTTGACTGGGATAAGAGAGCATTAGTGGAGGGCGAAAAAGAGATGCCCATCTCCACCACAACCCTTGAAAGCCTTGCTAACTTCTTGAGGCTTGCGTTGAGGTGTCTGATGGCGTTATGGAGTTTCTTTTGGTGTCAGCATCATAAAGGAATTGACCACTGCTGCATCACGTATGTTCCTTTAGTTGCAGTTTGACCACTTTTCCCTTGAACAGAGGTATAACTTACTTGGCTTACTTGGGTGAAAAGCGACAAAA